TCTATTATAGCCAGTGTACTAAAAAATCTCAGTTTAATAAAACTAAATACACCATAAATACAAACACACAGATTTGCAAGTTTAAATAAACTTTGAATATAAAAATAGCACTTATCTAGGTACAGATGCTTAGCCAGCACTTCTGCACTACCATAGGTGACTGGTATTGATGTACCAAATAACTGCTAAGCTTCTATCTCAGTCTTGAAGAACACCTGAGAGTCAGTTCAAGAGTTTCCCATACCTTTTGAGAAGACTATTGTCTTAGCATGCATTTTGAACACCATATGGTTATAAATATCCATGCCTTCTCTACGATTTAACCCAGGCCTAAAAGCACAGCAGCCAGCAGCACTAATTACTCTACCAGCTGGCTGCTTATATTCTTGTGGTAATCATTATGCTAAGAAGACCATCTATGATTTAAACCAATATTTCTGAAAACACAAATAAATGGTAGGCTGAATGTTACTTCTCTAGGATAAGATTTTCCAAAGGAGACCAAAATTCTATGAAACTGTAAGTGTCATCTTAGAGATGGTTTAATATAATATGCACGAGGTAAGGATGGAGAACGATGTGAAATTGAATGAATAAATTTTAAGTGGAAGAACAGAACAATTTCAAGCTTTATATTTCAGTACTCTGTTTAGGGAGAAAAACTATTTATTATAAACATATATGAATTATTTTAGCTAATCCTAAAGCAGATTTTTTTTTTCAACAAAGTAAAGCATGTAAGTGCTCACAGAGCAAAACATGCAAATAAGTACAGTCAAAAGTCGTTAATTCAGACACCCATAATCTGGAATGATCTATAATCCGGACCTCAAAGCTAAAAACTTTCTGCGCATGCGCCGCGTTGGCACATACGCACAGGCGTTTTACGCGTGCGCGTAAGACCTTGACTACTGCGCATATGCGTGTGCGCAAGTGCAGAATACGTTTTCGCCTGCACGTTTAATGTATAACGGACAGTGTAAGCTAAAATTATCTAATTATCTATTTCAGTTAATGTTGCAGATTGCGTTGTTCCTTAATCTTGGAATTGGATCAGGCTTATTATTTTTTGCAGACTGTAAGAGCAATTTTATAAAAGTAAACTTGAACTTTCGATTATGTCAAATAGAATTTCCGATTCTGGAACTCCCAAAGGATCTACAAAACAAAAGTATGTTTCGATGTCCAACAAACAAAAAGTGGAATTGCTGCAAAAAATGGATAAAGACATGAAGAATGTGACAGAGAGGTTAGTGAAAACGAAAAAATTTCGATTGACAAGTTAGTCGGTATTCTCGGCACAGCAATTAACGGGACTTGAACAGCGGAACTTTGTAACTGAACAAGAAATTATGTCTTTTTATAGAATTAAAGAGAAAGTATTATCACATAAAACGAAGCAACTTAAACAACTTACATTGAAAGAAATGTTTAATAAAGTAAACAAATAAATATTAAGCTTTTTTTTTTTGTAAATTTTGATACCCTTTAGATCATAATTGTTCTTTATTTCATAAATTACGGTTTCATATTTTTAATTTTAGAATTTCTGCATGCCATCTTACGAGATTTAAACTGATGATCTATAATCCGGAATCGCCGAAGTCCCGACGAGTCCGGATTAACGACTTTTGACTGCATATTATATTGCATTATTTTATTATAATACCTGTCTTCCAGTCAAAAAAGAATTATCTTAATATAATTTTTGCACCCTCCCTCCAAAAACATTACAATTATATATTATATATTTGTTTTAACTCCATCTTCCATTAACAATGCAAAAGGGGATCCTTGCACAGGGTACATGGAAAACTACTTATGGCACAGCCTTAACATCTGAATCTTATCTTCTTTCAGTTTGAAATAAATCTCAATCTTATCTCCAGATTATATCAATGTCACAGACTGACCTTAAAAATATAGTTTACTCTGCAGTTGGAGATCGAGATCTAGCACTGGCAAATTTTAATGGCATGTTGATTTGACTAATTTTAATGCAACAATGCATGTTGAATAGCAATAACTTTTTTGTTGTTTAGTTTACAGCAACTGCAACATTAGGCACAGCTTTAGTATTAGTCCTTTTTGGCGAGAAATTTTTGTTGGCGACATTTTGGAGCGATAAATGAAAAATTATGTTAACCTTGTTATTTATGGTAACCATAAAACCTGAGCTGAAAAAACGTGCCGCCATTTCTGTCCATGTAACTTTAACGAATTTAGTAGCTATCAGGGCTTTGATGGCAGGAGGGATAAATTGCATGTTTTTCTTAAAGTTACTTAAAGCACAACTTTAAAAATAGTTTTTAAAAAGCCAAAAACTGATGCTTTTAATATTACATCACATGAGTCTTGACATTTTTTCATATGTCAACTCTGCATATTATAAACTCCATCCCCCCCAAAGATAAAAAACATATTTTTAGTAGCATGAGGTTAAACTCTTGGTGTTTCCTTTGCTAAGGAACCACATGCAAATTTAGACTTCTTAGATGTTTCTTAAAATGGACAATAATCAAAATTACCATGGTCTAAAAATACTTTTTTTGCCTCATTTCTTAAATTAGAACTATAGGGATGCCTAATTGCATGAATTCATAGACCAAAATCAGGTTTCATTATTGCTTTTAAAACATTTTTATAATTTGTCTGACTATAAAAAATATAATGTTGCTTAAGATTATGGAATATATTGCTTATAATTTACAGTTCTCAAATTTTATATATCTCATAATTTAATAGCTGTATATGAATAACCTTCACTGAGTATTATTACTTTTATTAATAGTACGTTGACATAACAGTCGACTTTTAATTTTAAATTTTATGCAAATTTTCTACATTACTTAAACATTTAATCTAACAGAAATCTGAATTTTTTGTAATAAAAATTCTATAATAAAAGTAAGAGTACAATTTATATATAAAAATTTGACTACAAGTCAAGCACTTAGATACTGATTTCAATGTAATTATTATAAAGTTAAAATGTAAATATTATTATTATTACCATCTTTAAATGTAATTATTACAAAGTTTAATAAGGTTAAAATGTAATTATTATAAAGTTTAGGTATATTTTTATTAAGATATATTCTTATTCTATTAAAAACTTTAAATGTAGGCACACTTTGTGCTTACGACTCAGTCAACCACTTATGGCAAGATAACTTATGATAACAATTAAGTTCAAATGTTAAATTTAAATTCAAATAAATTTGTAGCCAAATCAATTTAATGCAAAGCTGGTTCAAAACTTAACTGGCATGGAATTCAACTATCAGCAATTATAATACAGGACTGAAGACTACAAATCTTATCTTATCTAGCAACCTAGTAACGTAGCCTCTAAAGGCAAAACACTTTGTTTTACAAACTAAAAACTTCATTTGGATTATGGTGGGAAAACAGATGGGAAAATTGACAGTAAAGATCCCAAACATAAAAAAACTCTGGTTACAAAATAAAAGAATGTTACATTATACTTTGTTCCCTGATTAATTATTCACTACATGAAATAGTGCAATGCATTTTTGTTTGCATCATACACAAATTATTTATTTTATTTAAATGCTGTTCAAAACTGAAGAGGATTTTGCAAACATATTGACCATATTTTTTGACCTATAGATGCAACACTTCAGTTCAGAAAAGATTTATAATTAAGAAATAAGAAGAGAGAACAGTATTTATGAATAGAAAATAAATATATATGCTAGCTAGCAGAAGGATGCCTTCATAAAGGAGATTTTTAGAGAAATTGGCTCAGATTCACATTGCATGTAAGGAAAACCACAAATGTTATCATATAGCCAGTCTGAACTGTCACTGTTCAGTGGTTTATCACTCCACCACTAGTGGATTCCAATGACTGTTCGAATCTTTCACAGAAATCATCAGTTATGACGATCGTTGTCGTGTATGATTACCATTGGTACAAAATTTACTCATTATGATAATTTAATTTTAGCTTTTAAATTATAATCATAAATTAATTGTAATAAATTGAGTGATTTAAAAATACACACTTCTTAATAGTTTTACCATTTACAAAATTTAATCATAAAGTATTTCTAACACTGGTACAAAATTTACTCGTTATAATTTAATTTGATTTCCTTTGAAATATTTGTTTTTTTATTTTCTTTTTATTATTTATTTATTTTTTAATAACAGGATTTAAGAAATAAAATAACATATACTAGTTTGAAATGCATTTATTAACCTTTTGTAGTTTTCATTATTCATAACATAAAAATTAACCTTTTGTAAATTTTGTTAGCTAAATATTAATATAATATAAAATTAACTAATACTTAAAAATTAATACTTAATATTAATATTATATTTTGTATTTAAAATATTAACCTTTTGTAAATTTCATTCCTCATAACATAAGCACTGCCATTAATTCATTTTATGGTAGTGTTTCAGGAATTTATCATAGCAGTACTAGAAATGTTGAAAATTAGAGAAAGACTGTTTATTCTAATCAAGAGCTGATTTTTTAAGATTGTTATATAGTCTAGATCGGGTTTTGTTGAAAATCCGCCATTTTTTTCCGATTTTCAAAGCCGGGTCTACCTTTGCGACCGAAGTTTGTCGCCAAAAGGACCAATACTAAAGCTGTTCCCAACATTAATATATTGTTACTTGGTCACTTTTTGTTTCAGGATTAGTTGATAATGGCTAAACACATTACCAATACCTATATAAGGGTTGGGATGCTTCAGTGGAAAATCTTGTATATGAAAATTACTTGCATTTTTATTATTATGCACGCAACTAAGTTGTTGGCTAGGCTTTAAACGCAGGTGAACTAGCAGTGTTCAGTGTTATTTCCACTTGGCTACTAGTGGGTGACATTTTGTTTGTTTATTCCAGGACAGCAAAGCACATGCCTTTTTAAAACAAGCAACTAGTAATAACCAATGCCAATGTTTTTTCGATTGTAAATTAACCAAAATGACATTAATAAGTTTCAAATTTTGTATCACCTTAACAATATTCTTGTGAGATATCGTTGGAAGAACGGCAATTTCTCGCAGTAGTTTTGATGCAACCAAGAGATAACAATCATACAAATATCGGTCCTCCTCTAATAAGCACGATGATATATCGTAGCCGTCAATATTAACAGTTTTCAAAGATAATATTCTACCATTTAAACTGATTTTATAAGTAGATTTTGTCCACCCAGACCCGACAAATTGAAGATCTTTAACTGCACTCAGGGTTGAACAATTAAGTTCAGCAAATATTTTTTCCGAACTTGAGTTCAAAGCAGGTGTAAGTCTCCACTCATGATTAACCCTCCAAAAATTCTCAAGAAGAATATTAAAATACACAGTTTGGCCCCATTTTTCACGAGGAAGAGTTCTTTGCTTTTTATTAACGCGGCAAGTACCTTCTTTCAAACACTGTGGTTGATCTCTGTCATAAAGGTAGTAAAACAATAAAACATTTGTAAATAAAAATAAAATAAATGATAATTTAAAAATAGTTGAGTAAAATGCAGAGGTATTTCGAATGGACTGCCGCGACATTTTCTTCAAATACAAAAGCCAAGCATATTTTTTTTAAATAAATCAAGACCAACTTATACTGACAGACAGACAGGCAAAGTAGACGGAGGTCTTTTTGTTGCACCCGCTAAGTCTTTTTGCACCGATGGGCGAAAAATCAAGCATAGGTGCGAAGGAAAGGTATCCGCGATTCCAGCGCTCTGATACGCCATCTAATGGCTAAAAGGTGGAAACATTAAAGCTTGGTATTTACGTTTGACAATGCTACCTAGTTTGTGAAGCGTGTTGTGATCGAAAAGTAATTAAACGTTTTTTTTTTTATTGTTGTGGGCATATGTATAACTTAGAAAGAAGTACAGACCACACGTTTTGTTGTGTATCCCAGTGTAATTCACGAGCTTGCAAGGAACCTGAGTTATGCTTTCATCGCATTCTTGGTTCCAAAAATATCGAATAAGATAGCAAAAGGAAGAAAGGAGTGAATTCGCGTATTTCGAATTGGAAAGAAAGTTGGACATTAAATAAAAGTGCGTTGTAAGCATTTAAAAAAATACTGATTACGTTTTTTCTCGTAAGAAAAATTTTCTTTATGTATGCAAAATTTCTTTCTCGTATATTATATATACATATATATATAAATGTGTATGTGTATTCTTCGAAAGTAAACATGCATATTTGTGTATTGAAGTATAAATCATTATAGCTCATTAATCTCTTAAATACTATTAATACATATACAATTATGCTTTCATGCATATTTTACCTGCAGAAATTGTGTTTCAGTTTATGTTAGCAATGATTTAAATGAAAATTTATAGAATGACACATATAAAAGTAAAAGTTAATTATTTTAATGTTAATGATGAACTTTGAATTTCATATTCTAGTAATGTTGAAATTTCTGTGTGTGAGTCATTTCCTATTAAACTATTTAGAACTGTTTACAGTGGTTCAGGATAGTTAGCATAAAAAATTTCCAGTTCAGAAAATAGGTATGATGATCTAGTATGAGTAATAGTATAAAAAGTATTACAGATATCAAATCTTTTCCACTATACAATAGCATGCACTAAACAATTTCTTATAAAATGATATACATACCATTGTTACTGCTGAGCACAGTTAAATGGTTTTTCTTATCTTTTATAGCAGTGTTCATTTTGAAGTAAGTATTAGTAATAAAAAGTTTTTAAAGTAGCTTAAAAAAATTTATCCATGGTGAAAAAAATTAGCTAATGATGAAAGTATTTTTTCTCACTTGAAGTATCAAACGGGCCACATGTATCTTTTTCGAGAAAATCTGTTGTTCTGTTAATGTAAAACACCCAAGTATTTGTTCAGTGATAAATATTGATAGGGAAGAGACTTTTAGTAATTTCATTTCTCAGCCATTATTCAAAATATGATTGCATATAACTAAATAACTTTGGAGTAAATTAAACAGCGTGCACAGACATGTGTATACAGATATACAGGTTAGCAAATAAAAGCAAGGACAGTGGATTTGGATCAGTTCAGTAATTTATTAGATTGTTTATGTATTCCTGTTTTGTTTATAACAAGCTTTTATTTAGTAGAATAAGAATGTGTAGAACATTTAGTAGAATAAGAATAATATATGAATACACAGCCTTTTACTTGCAAGAAATAAGATTTTGCATAGTTATTTAAAGATGTAACCATATTTATTATCTCAAACATATTCTATCTTAGGGGTCTATTCTGGACACCGGTCGAGATAGATATCGGAAAACCAGTCGGGATTCTCTTTCCACTCGACAGCAGAAGGGAGAGCGAGTCTGGCCCCTTCAAATTCCGTCGGGGGAAAATGAAGTGGAAATTCTGTGCGGAAGTGACGTTTACTCCATAGCAAGCAGTCTATCTCATCTCCACATTGCTCGAGGCTCAGGGGAAGGGGGTAGTTTGTTGTCAAAGGGGCTGTTTCGCACGTGTTTATTACTGTGGGTGGCGGGAAAAAAAAAAAAAAAAAAAAAAAAAAAAAAAAAAAAACGAGTTCCAGTAAATGGAGAAATTTACCGAAAAACTCCGCTGCTGGATAGCACATTTAGTAAAGAGTATGGAAAAAAGAAATGGAGAACGTTAATGGATATTTTAAACGCAGAAAGAAATAGCTTTTTCAAAACTTCAGGTATGTGAAAAAACGTAGGGGTCTTGTCTGGACACCGGTCGAGATCGATATCGGAAAATCAGTCAGGATTCTCTTTCCACTCGACAGCAAACCGGAGAGCGAGTCTGACCCCTTCAAATCCCGTCGGCGGAAAATGAAGTGGAGATTCCGTACGGAAGTGACGTTTATTGCATAGCAACCAGTCTGTCTCACCTCTACATTGCTCGAGGCTCAGGGAAAAGGGGGTAGTTTGTTGTCAAAAATGCTGCTTCGCACGTGCTTTTCAATGAGGATGGCGGGTATCAAAAAATAAAAAAAATTACCAAGCATGGAGTAAAATGGTGAAATTTTTCGAAACTCTGACGTTAATGATAAACATAGAACATTTAGTAAAAAGAGCAAGAAAAAGAAATGGGAAGAGTCAATGGATATTTTACACAAAAGTGCAGATATGTGAAGAGCGTAAGCATAATTTTACGTATGATCTTTGTGGAAAATTTTCTAAAAAGTTACATGTTTGTAAAACTATTTGTTAACAGTTTTATGGTTAAATTTTTGTCTAAAAAGGTTATGTTACAGTGTCCTAATCATCATTAAAATAAGCATCGCGTACGCGTGGTTTAATATTCCTATTGAATTTGAATCAAAATTTTTTTAAAATTTTTAGTAGCCCTGATATATCAAATTTATTTATTGGAATTATCTTATCACGTAGTACGGAATATACTATGTATCGAAAATACCATGCAGAAAACTTTGGATTGATGCATTAAAAGACGATTTACTAGAGTAAATATAAGAAATTTTTACAAAAATATGGGAAGGAAAATAAAAAGATTAAATAACTATAGGTTAAATCACAAAACTATCATCTGCATATAAAGCACACCCATAAAACATTATATTTTAAAATGAAGGGAAAATTGCATAACAGCTGCATATTAAGAGAATGGAGATATTTTTCTGTTTATATAAATGAACTCTAGCATTCTTCCGTGTCACTAAATGCAATTATAGATACGTGGGTACCATCTTACAGCGCCGATGACACCAGAAAATCCAAACTTTCGATTGAATCATAATTTTATCTTATTTTGTTGAAAACTATGTAAATTTATCAATATGGTGAAAATACCAGATCAAATAGCATATGTAACCTCTCAAATGCACCAACTTGACATTTAATTCTCAGTCCAATATATCTGTCATTACCAATATATCTCTGATGACTTCCAGATGCAAAAACGTTTAAGGCAAACAAAACTTGTTTTAAATAAATAAATAACTATACATATATATATATATAATATATCAAAATGCAGGAAGGAAATTGTAGCATATTTAAGGCAAACAAAGCTTGTTTTGAACAAATAAATAACTATATAATATATATATAACTGTATTATAAATTATCAAATATGCAGTTGAAAGGAAATTGTAGTACAATTCCTATTTATACCTTTTTAAATCGATTCCACCAGCCCATGAGGTAAAATAGCTGAACACTGGTAGTTCAGTCCGAGGTCCGAATATCGCGAACGGTGGCTGATCACCAAATATCTCTAAACCAATATTCATATATCTGTCATTGCTAATATATTTGTCATTACCCATATTTCGGGTAAATTCCAAAGCATAAAAATTTAAGGCGTACAAAACCTTTTTTAATAATAAATATATACAATATAACTGTTTTAAATATATCAGCATAGCAGTGAAAGAAATGCCAGTACATGTTTCATTCATCCCCTTTTTAATTGATCCCACTAGCGCGAGCGGTAAAATCTGAACACTGATAGTTCGGAGAGGTTCAAATCCGCGATCGGGCTTGCTGCATGGGCTTCATTACAAACATTTTCTCGTAAATTCCAAAAGCTAAAAATTTAAGACATACAAAACCTGTTTAAATAAATAAGTACTAAAGTGTATAAATATTAACATATGCAGTGAAAGGAAATTGCAGTAACATTCCTATTTATGCCTTTTTTAATCGATCCCACTAGTGGGCCAAGCAGTAAAATCTCTGAACACTGGTAGTGCGGTCCGAGGTTCAAATCCGCGAACGGCAAACATATTCTTGGTAACTTCCAGAAGCATAGAAGGTTAAGGCACACGAAATCTGTTTTAAAATAAATAAATGTATATATATATATAACTGTATGATAAATATATATAGATGCAGTGAAAGGAAAAAGAAATTGCAGTACATATTGTATTTATACCCTTTTAAATCGATCCTACAAGCGGCCGAGCGGTAAAATCCTGAAAATTGGAAGTTCGGTGCAAGGTTGTAATCCCGCGAACGGGCTGGCTGCATGGGCGTTTTCGGTTTTCCCCATGTGTTACGTGTATACAAGCTAATTTCCCTTAAAGTCCTCCACGAAGGCAACCCCACTTTAGGCAGATAGCCCTCAAGGCTTTGCGTAATTACATAAAACAAAAAAACCAAGCACTTTAAGATCTGAATAAAAATAAAAACTGATGTAATATCTAAAAGCAGACCACATTAAAAAAATTGGTAACTAATTATAAATCTTGCATTATAATATTTATAAGAATTTAATCGAAAATTATACAGAAATTTAACTTGTTTAATACAGGAGATTTTGGAAACTGACATTCATATCGGTACAGTTAAAACTACTTAAATGATTTTTTAACCCAAAGCAATTTAATGCAAATATTGAATTTAGGATGTTAATAATTTGAATTATATACTGCATATTCTTTAATGCACGTGTTAATGTATTACATTTTTATATACTACAAATTAAAATAAAATTAGAGGGCAATACATTATAATTTAAAACATAAAATTTCAAAATTTATAAATTACTCATCTAAGCATGAAATTAAGTACATTGATATATACATTAGTTGAAAAATTATAATTTTAAATTAAAAGTATGCACCTTCTTTATATGTGAAATAGGAAAATACCAAATATATT